AGGCCCATCATCGAACGTTCAGTCGTATCAGGCTGGTTAATCAGATTACCTAGAATGAATGGGAGGCAGAAGGCAGAGAGCAATCTCTTAGAAAAACCGCGAATAGCGAATGCGCATGCATTTATCGATTCGAAGAGGTGGAGAGGGGTAGGTGAGGATTACCGCAATTCTAGCCGCCGCACCCCAGACATGATGATAAACCAGTGTCTGAGCTTGAAATATGTTCATTAGCTTGGGAAATGTTCTATAGCTAATCTTACCAAGCTGGCGAGGCACCGTGAACGCATTCAATGTCGACAGAAAATTGAAAGTTGAAGTCTACCAGACAATGTGCGGGTGAACGGAGGCTAGAATCTGAGCTAATGACGCGTAGGAGAGTCGGTCACGGTCGAGACTTCTTCTGCCAACCTGTTCGCATGCCAGGCACGGACGAGTCCTTGCAGCGGCGTTAAGTCTAAGACCTGCAGACAGGGATAGGTAAGTAAGCACGCGATAGGTGAAAACATTCAGGCTCTCGAAATCGCTGTAGCGCGGCGAGCACGCAGTGACGTGCGTGGCATGGAGAACTTGAAGTCTGGAATGAAAGTCGTTGTCGTTGGGAAATGTGAGACAATGATATTTCCTAGGTCGGCTTCGCAACCCCAATCCGGATGTCGATGAAATGTGGGACGGGAAGTCCGAGTCCGGTACCTCGCCCGGGTGTCACCGGGGATAGGCGGGCCTAGAATTTCGGCGCGGGAATGAGACCTCGTTCGACAAGCTGCGGCCCGGCAGAGTAATATCGGTCGGAAGAATTCGATGGTTAAGACTGCCCTACGACATCTGCATCGACGGCATGGCATAGGTGTCATGTTCTGTGAGCAAGCAGCGAGATGCACAGAGCCGATTCGACATCGGCTTCCTTCGCAAAGGCAATTCCTTCCTCAGAGTCTAGGCCCCTCGTGTAGCATTTGGTGTTGAGTGTGGGTTTCCGATACCAGCCTTGCCGCTACTCATTTGCATCGCGAGGCATGCTGTAGCGCGCCCCTTGTCGCATTCAAAGTTCTGGAAGAAGAAACGACATCCACGTTGTCAAAAAGTGAAACCCGCGACTGCAGTGCAACAGCAGGTGTTCGCAGGTGACGGCGGGGCGCCGTTTGCTTCAGAGCCAAGCACTAAGCCAACGCACGTTTTGTGGTGTGGAAATCTCCGACACGATTGCCAGTTCAGGATCAAGGGCCTAGAATGGGAGCACAAATCGGTGCCGTCGGAAAAGCCGTAACCAAGCAGAGCGTGGCATTTCTACCACAGGGCCACCAACGCAGATACCCGGTCCGATCCATCAGTATGGCTCTCTGAGCATCGAACCCGCAGATCGAGGGTTGGCGCGGACGGCCGTCATTGGCTAAGTAATCTGGGGGGTTTCGGCGCAGCACTGACTGCCAGGCTGAGGAAGCGCGGTTGGCTTGTCACTGTCCATCACAATTACTCTCCGTTTGCCAGAACTTGAACAAACTTGCAACTTCCTGGAGCTGTGATGCCGGGCGGCCAAGCTCTGAACGCAGATCGAGTTGAAGGGAGTCGTCGCCCTGGCCAGGGGTTCAAGTTCCGGCACCTAGTTGTGTATCAGCCCCGGACCATTTCATTGGAAGTAATATGTGAACAAGGCAAGGCAATTTTAGCCTTTGGCGCACGCGGGAGCAGAGGCCGGTTACCGCCGCTTGAGAGCTATCGCGAAGTGCGGCTTTCTAGCAGATGAGTTTTGGAACCTCCCTCGGAAAATGGTTAACTTTCTTTTTCCTCTTATGACTCGACTTGACCACGGCCAGCGTTATGCAACCCAGATGGCGTATCTATACGCTCAATGATACAAGTAGCGGGTTGGGAACGATGTGCACCTTGACGAACAAGCGAAGAGTCTTGTCAGAACGCATGATACGCCAGCGAGTTTTAGCTCAGAAAATACTGGAGCTGGCACCCTGGTTCAGCTGGAGGTTGGTGTGATGTTGACGAATAACAGTCCATCTTCGAGGTCTTGGAGCTTGTCGAAACAGGGTGCCCAGCTGCATATTCATTCAGCTGAGCGACTCAAAGTAGGCTTGAAAGTATCAACCAACAATCTGTCTCTTTTGTTTTTGGCTCTCTGGAGGGAGGAAGGGAGGGGCGTAGGGTAGGCAAATACCAAAGCTTCCAAATAAGTTGTGCGCGAAATAAGTGCCGCGCAGACTGCAGTGTTGATACCGTGAGTTAAAGCGGAGACTGACTCGATAGCGTCCATGAAGGCGCTGAAGCTTGCGAAGAGTCGGGAGTCTGGAGCCTGGAGGCTCTGCTCTCGTACCGAGCTGTCATTCCCAATCCATCAATGGATCGGCCGAGTGGCTGTGGCGTGTAATGGGCGTGTGTCCGTAGTAGGGGGCGGCGGCGGCGATGGCGGACGGCACCAGAGCCAAAGACAGAGTCTGGGAACAAAGCGGGAACGTTTAGTGGTGTCCGATGATTCATCATATTCCCAGGTAGAAGCCGCAATCCGCACCGAGCTCCAAGATCATTGCGACCTGCATTGACAGGCAGGGAGGTGGATTGCAGATGGGTTTGCGCTCTGCCCGCGATGCTCGGTTGCTACAGCTTGACACACGACGATGGCATCGATCGGGTGGTTCTTCTTTTTGCTGATGGAGTCCGATGGATCAGGGAACATCGTGGTTGGGAATCTGCGTCGGCGAACACAGCGAGATGGTCAAGGGTGTTGAATTTGGTAAGCTCTTTCGGCAGCCTTGACGGTGCATTCCCATGCAGTGCCATGCCAGGGGCGATGCAGCTGGGAGTTCTGGGACTCGGGAGTATTCGTATCCCATTGCTGTCCAAGGCAAAGCAGAATTCGATGAATCAGAGATGTGACAAAGGCGAGCAGCAGGAATATCCGTAGGAACGCGAGGTAAGCAAGTGAGGTGTGAGGTGTGAGGTGACTGGGAGTGCTGGGAGTGCTGGGCTTGTCGGTGGCCTGAGGGTTGTGTGGTCCCCTGGTAGGGCAGCATATACGTACCGACAAAGTAAGGTACGTAGAGGTGGTCTCCACTAAAACTAGTCCCATGGATCCGTCCGGGTGGACTCGATCTCTGGAACCCCGGACTTTATCTCTGCATCAGAAGTACCTCTCGATCTCGGTGCACTGCTATCCATCTTTCCCATGTCCTCACCATCGCCATGCAATCCTGCGGCCCTTTCTCCTCGCTCCTTGCTATGTGCCGGCACCAGCGCACTCCCCGTGCCACGTCTCAGCCTTTTCAACCATGGAAATTGCCTCCCATCCTTACGCAATATGTGTGAACTGTCAGATTCTAGGTATCTTATCACTTCTGTCTATGGTCGGGGAGTCGCGGAGTTGACCCCGGCAACCACCAAGGCTGTCCTCCTTGCCTCATTCAGAATCGGCCGACAGGCAAGAACACCCTTCCAGTTCGCAGACAAATGTACCAATTCCTGTCGAGGCTCTCCTGTCTCTTGGATATGCATGGCAAATCCAAATCTGGCGGCCACCCGAACAGACTGGGAAGGGGGGTGGCCGGGGGGGCCCAGACTCGGAGGGATCATGAAATTTCAGGGTCCAATGTGACTTAGTCTGTCTGCTTGCCAGTCGAGGAGGAGAACATTGAGAGGAGGCGTCATGACTACTCTAAGCCATCGGCGGTTTGTCCGTGCAAACTGATTGGACCTTTTACCATTCTCTTTTTCCGACGACGTCCATTCCATCCATGTCTTCTTTACGTACCTGACTGCGTACAACCTGTCGTCCTTCAGTCTGTTCGATATTACTTCATCTATCTTGCTGGATCAAATTTCGGGATAACAGTAACTATCCTACGGTCAAGTCTATCATCAACTTTCTTCCTTCTAGCACGCGGTGCCTATCTCACTGCATAGTACTCCACCCCTTTAGCGAGCTTGCGTCGTGAACCTTCCGGGTTCAGCTCAGTTGGGACGGTGGCTCGACCCTGCATTGTGTCCCAGTGTTCATCAAGAACTGCGTAAACGACTCTCTGCAGTGCTCCGGCCAGCTTGAACTCCCAAGTAAAACGCCCCGGGATTTTGTTGCTCAACTGGACAAAAAACTCTGCCCTTCTTACCCGAACCAGAGGCGGCTCCGTTCCTGTTCCTCCTTTGTTATTACAAAGAGACAGATCGTCCTTCCCCCTTCTCTCTTTCTGGCCACTCCATACTCTTACTTTACTTTCCCATTTCACTCCCGATCGTCTAACCTAAAAGTCGATGCCGTAGCTCTCTTGCAGCCTCATCATCCGACCACCCTACCATCGCATCGCGGCAGGACCCCTGGACTAGCGGCTGCTGCGTCATTCTCTCTTCGGCCCCGACCTAACCTCATCTTCCCTTCCACTCCCAGGCCCCCCCCCCCCCCCCCCCCCCCCCCCCCCCCCCCCCCCCCCCCCCCCCCCCCCCCCCCCCCCCTCCCTCCCCCCCCCCCCCCCCCCCCCCCCCCCCCCCCCCCCCCCCCCCCCCCCCCCCCGCCCCCCCCCCCCCCCCCTTCTCTCGAGAGACCCAGACCCCAAGGTTTCTCCTAGCTTGTTCCTTGCCCTAAGGGGAACCCTGTCTCCCGCTCCTCGCCTACCCTTCCCTTCCAGTCAACCTCCCCCTTCTACCTACTACCTCTTTGCAACTCGCCCGCAAATCATCTTTGCACTTTCTGTGGCGACTCCAAGACTAGTCTCTTTCCCAGCTGGTCGGGAGCTAAAGCAGATCTAACGGCTTCTCTTACGCCATGACTTTGGTTTAGACTCCTAACAACGCAAACTTGTCTTAACCCACTCCCTCCCTCTCAAGAACTTCCATTTGAGGCACTGTCTCCTGATCTCTATCTTGCCAACGAACCTTGGTCTCAACACAAACGAACACTCCATCAAATTACAAAGACAACACCAGTGTCTATCTGACACTGCAACGAAAGAACTCGACTTTCCTATCCCGGCTTTTACTAGAAAGCAATACCCGACGAGCATCTATCTACGATGGCGGCGTCCAATATCCTCATTTACCTGCTCCGGCACGATCTTCGCATTGCGGATAATCCTATTCTTCACCATCTCGTAACCGCGTCTGACCACGGATTCACACATGTTCTCCCTGTCTACGTATTCCCAGCACACCAGATCGAGATTTCCGGCCTCTTACGCGAAGGAAGCAAGTCCCCTTACCCAGAAGCTCGCAGCGAGATTGGCAAGTTCTGGCGGTGTGGACCTCATCGAACAAAGTTCATTGCTCAGTCTGTTTGGAATGTCAAGGAATCCCTCGAAGGCGTAGGAAGTGGCCTGGCTTTACGCGCAGGCAGGTTCGGTGATGTCGTTGGCGACCTTCTTCAAGGATTCGCAGACAAACGCCAAAAGGTTGGAGCGGTCTGGATGGTCGAGGAAGAAGCTATTGAAGAGAAGAAGGATGAGAAGGCAGTGGCCAAAGCCTGCGAGAAGCACGGTGTTGAATTCAAAACCTGGCTGGACGAGAAATACTTTATTGACGAGTAAGTGTATTCCGCTTGACAAGAAATTACGATCCTAACGATTCTCTCTTCAACAGCCGCGACCTCGGCTTCAAAACCCCCAGCGACCTCGCAGACGTTTTCACAGCCTTCAGAAAGACCCAAGAGCCGCTCCGCGAGAAACCGAGACCCACGCTGGCTCGCCCTGCAAAGGGTTCCCTTCCACCTTTTCCTGAGCACTCCGCTATCCCTCCCCAGCAAGCACCGTTCCAGATCCCATCCACCTACGATGCCCTGGAGTCTGGTCTTCTTACGCCCTTGAAGTGTCCCTTCGATCAAGAGCCAAAGTTTCCAGAGAAGGCGACTTCAGTTCATCCGTTCAGCGGTGGCGAGGATGTCGGAATTGAGCGTTTGGATCACCTTGTCAAGTCAGGCGCCATGTCTAGCTACAAGGACACTCGTAACGGCCTGCTCGGAGTCGACTTCAGCACCAAACTTTCAGCTTACCTATCACTGGGATGCTTGACGGGACGCCAGATCCATGAGGCTCTGGTCAAGTTTGAAGACGGACAGGATGCCAAGTTCAAAGATACGCCAGGTTACGGGAAGGGGGAAAATGACGGAACCAAGGCTGTGCGATTCGAACTTCTATGGCGTGACTACATGCGTCTTTGCACGAAGAAGTTTAGAGGACAGCTTTTCCGCGTCACTGGCTTCAAGGCCGACAAGACACCTAAGTGGAAGTCTGCGGACCCTAAGCACGTGGTTTCGGACGACAACCTCGGTGCTTCGCCGGACGAGATCCAAAAGACCCTGAACAGGTTCCTTGAGGGAAACACCGGCATGGGGTTGATTGATGCTTCGCAACGCGAGCTGTACCACACTGGCTACACATCCAACAGAGCTCGTCAAAACGTGGCTTCCTTCTTAACCAAGCATCTCGGTATCGACTGGCGGTACGGAGCCGAATGGTACGAGTATCTTCTTGTCGACTACGACGTCAGCTCGAACTGGTCCAACTGGCAGTATGTTGCTGGCGTCGGCAATGACCCTCGTGGTGACAACAGGATCTTCAATCCTGTTAAGCAAGCTTTCGACTATGACAAAGACGGAGAGTACGTCAAGGCTTGGGTTGTTGAAACTCGAAAGGTTGGAAAGCTGGAGAATGTGTTCCAACTCTGGACTACACCGGCAGATGAGCTCGAACGTCTCGGTTTGAATAAGAATGTCATGGTTACAGACCCCATTAAGAAGATTGATTTCTCGGTGGAAGGGAAACCAAAGACTGGCAGGAGGCAGTATAACAATCGCCGAAGGGGTCGAGGCAATTCCCATCAGAGTAACGGGTCTAACGGTGGGCCATCACGAGGACCTCCACCAGGATCAGGAAGCTCTAACGGAGGCTACGGTCACTCGAATGGTGCTTCAGACCAAGGTTCGACAAGCCACTCTTCATCTAGGTCGCCACCCAATGGCCCCCAGGGATACCGTACCAACAGAGGAAATGGCGGGTTCCGTGGCGATTCCCGCGGTGGTTATCGTGGCGGACGGGGTGGCCGAGGTGGAGGTGACGGCAGCAGCGGCGGAAGTGGAGGAGGTTACCGAGGGGGTCGTGGATCGTTTGGAGGTGGCAGGGGAGGAGGTTTCAACACCTACCACATTGCCAACATGTACCCCTTGGCAAACAATCAGCCGCGGCCACAGTGGACAACAGCGGCGTCTTTACAACAGTCGTAGGTCCTCTGTAGGTGCAGGAGGAGGGTTCGCGGCAGAGATGGGGAGCGGTATTGGCAACTTGACCCTCATCGCTGCCGATCGTTGCCCATCATTGCCCGTCGCCGCTCACCATTGCCTAGAAACCGACACTGACCTTATGTTCACCAACATGCTAGTATCTCTGGCAGGTGTGTTACGGTTATGAAATAACAACCGACCACGTTGATACACGCTGGGTGTGGAGCACGAACGACGCAGAGATGGTTCATGCTTTGGTATAGCGCGGTGCGGGGTGCAATATGTCTTGGTAGCGGTGTTTCCAGAGAACTTTATGGCATTCTTCAACGACGGATGAGACCGGAGTGTTGTAGTAGAGTGTGAAGCAGTTTGATTGCGCAGTGGAAAGCCTTACCAACACTCGCAATGGCGGACCTTTACAGGTAGTGTATATTACGCACGTACGAATCGTGCATAGCGCTTTCTTACTTATGTATAAACTAGTATGTTGAACCACTACGTTCCAGTGCAATCTCGCGGGTTGGGTTTGTCACCTAATTAACAAACGCACTACGTGCACCTACTACTTGTAAGGTGATCAAGGCTTGTTGGAATTCAAGATTTATACCTGGCCAAGTATTACTACGTCTGATCACAATACGGAAGTTGACGCGGCCTTGTCTATTTGAGGTCAACTCGACTAATTCCCTGGAAGATCAGGGCCAAAAGAATCCGACCATATATCAAGTACCTACGTGATGTCCTCAGTGAACGGGACACTGCGTAGGCGAATCAAAGCCTCGCGATGTTGATCTTTGTGAAAGTGTCAGGTGGTGGGTGATAGAGGACGTTGGAATGATGGGTCTGGTATGTTGAACTGATTTTGAGGTATCACGAGTTTTGTCTATTTTGCTTCTTTTCTTGAGTTCCACATCTATCGATACATATTACTTTTCAGTAACTTCCGGCTCCCACCTTTGATTCGCCTCAGCTTCAAGGCCAGAGGCAACTGAGATGGCTGATATCCCTTTTGCAACGCCACTGAATGCACGTTGACATACTTTTACCCCCTTTTCATATCCTCCTCCTCTTCAAACAGCAAACTCTACATTTGACAAAACCTTCCCTCCCCCCCCAAGCTTAGAACCTCCCACCAAGAGGCTGCACCTCAATCCCCTTGGGCACCACAAAAAGCCCCTTGGCCTCAACGACAGTAGCACCATCCGGATCCTCCATCCGCCCAATAATCCACAGCTTGCGATCCGTCTTATCCTCCTCGTCGGGCCTCTCCTTCTGCCACTCCGGCAGCGCCTTACCCACGCGAACGATATACAGCATCCCGGGCGTCACAGGCACCTTGAAGTCCATTGCCAGCTTGGCCGTGACGGCCGTGTTGGCCGTGAAATTGAGCGCCGCGAGCCGACCCATGGCCTCGTCCATGATGGTAGACAACATCCCGCCGTGCACGACGGACGGCCACCCGGACGTCCCCTGTCCGAACATGATGGCGAGGATGAGTTCGCCCGTGTACTTGTGCCGAAACACAATGTTGACCAGGCCCAGGCCGTTGGGGTTATTCAGTGCCGGGCCAGCGCAGAGGTGGTGCGCCGTTCGCTCGGGGGAGAAGTCGCGGTAGGGTTCCCAGTTTTCCCAGTCCGAGGTCGGGAGCTGGGGGATCGGGTTCCCCGCGGCGCCGGGGTCGGTGTTGGGCGGCATGCGGGGGACGAGGGACTGGAGGATGGGGTAGTCTTCGATGGCTTGGAAGGTGGCGTGGGCGCGGAAGAGGGGGATCTGGTGCTCGTCTGCCTCGACGGGCGGGTAGAGGAAGGGGGCCGTGAAGCGGATGGTTGCGATTTGGTCGTCGGTGAGCTTGTAGCCTAGGGCGAAGAAGAAGAGGGCCCAGAGGGCGCGGCGGAGGAGGATTGAGCGGCGGGAAGGGCCGGCGGCGGAGGGGACTGCTACGACGGCAGGTGAGCCAGGAGGGCCGCCGGGAATGCCTCCTACTCCTCCCGGTAGTGTTGACGGTGGTGTCGTCGAGAGGAGGGCTGTGATTTGTGCTGGGGTGAGGTGGGACAGGTTCGAGAGGGCGGCGTTGGCGGCGGCTTGCTGTTGTTGGGTTTGGAGAGGGGATTGCGCGATGGGAGGCGGCGGCGGCGGCGGCGGGCGCTGGGCTTGGAGGCGGGAGGAGGGCGTGGATGTGAAGGGTCGGAGGAAGGGTCGCGGCGCGATGCGGTGCGCGGGGACGATGTCCCGGAGGAGACGGCGGGCGGGCGCTCTGGGTATCATTTTGAGAGGCTTATCTGTCGAAGTTCTACGAAAAGGCGCATGTGATTTGATGTAGTGGAAGTGAGCTCTTCGAGCGACCGGCTCAATTGGGTTGGAAACGTGCTGGCTCTTGTTCCCCTGGATGGGTCGAGGTGGGTGAAGAGGGAAACTTGGCGATTTGAGCAGTTGTCGATGGAGGCTCTATTTTTGGTGGAGACCTAGCTATCTTCGTTTGGGTCCCTGGTTTCTCGGTAAGTCTTCACAGCGACTCGGTAAGCCGGCCGAATTTCGGTGAAGGAGCTTGGGCCAGATGTCCGGACCACAGGCCACGCACGGATCCTCGCTTACATAGCTCCCTGGAGGCTCGAGCAATCTGGATGGACCACGGAGCTTGACGTGATGTCACTGCTACGACGCTTCGATCGGACGGATCGATCTCTGTGGGGAACACGAAACAGTTGCATCTCATCGTGGACCTAGTATCGAAGAAAGCGGCGTGGAAACGCGCCTTTTGCATCCTGGGTCACGTCTATGTCATACTGCTACCACTCCTATGGACGCCATGCTGTCTATTCGTGATGCCTTTATCAACGCCATCAAAAGGGCCTGAGTGGGTAGAGGGAAAGAGGAGAAGGAGAGGAGAAACCAAACAAAAGGCCAAACAGATCTAAGACGCGAATGCAAACCCCCCAAAGTCCAGTTCTGGGTGCGGAATCAAATCTAAGCGGTCATGAGTGTGCTCCAAGCAACCCAGATGCGACGCGACTTGGGTACCGTAGCTCGCCCACTCCCGTCCGCTGCAGCGCCGCCGTTGCGCATGAGAACCCGGCCAATTTCCATATAGCTCTCCACGGCGACGACCATGGGGCCGCGCGCTTCCGAGGGAATCCACTTCATGGAGTTCCTCGCCTCCCCGTAGTGGTCAAAGGCCTTTGCGAGGATGCGACGGCGCACATTGCCGGCGCCTTCGCTGTTGGGATTCGCGAGAACATCCTTGGGCGTCAGGCCCTCCTCCTTGAGCCAGGATGTGGGTAAATAGACGCGGCCAATCTTGGCATCTACTGCAATGTCGCGCGCAATGTTGACGAATTGCAGCGCAAGGCCCATCTGGCGCGCTGTGTTGCGGAGGTAGGCTTGCATGTAATCGGGCAGATTGTGCTGGCAGTGACGGAAGACCAACTCGAGACAGGCCTGTCCGACGGTGCTGGCAACGCGGGCAGCGTAGAGCTCGAGATCCTCGGGATCCGTGATCGGGAAGGTGTCCTTGCTGAAGGAGAGATCCATCTCGAACCCCTTGAGGAGCTCGGCGAGGGGTTCGCGGGGTATGAGCGATGAGGGGAGGAGGTCCAGAGCCGAGAGAGCTGATTCTGGAAAGTTTTCGGCAGCGTACTTTGCGGCGAGCGGCGCCGAAGTCGCGTCGGGGTCCTTGTAGAGCAGGCTTAGATGGCGGTCGAGTTTGGAGATCCAGGATGCGGCCTCGTCAGGGGTCTCGGCATCGTCGACAAGATCGTCGGCTAGACGGCAGTAGGAGTAGCTGCGGAGAGGAGCAGTTGGTCAGCGATATAGGGTTACATTTAGGTTTGGGGCGCTGGAACTCTACTTACAGCAGCGTCAGGTCGATCCGTAGGCGGCCTGGGAAGACGGAGCTGGCGAGATGGAAGCTACGACTCTTTCTGGCCAGTCTGGTGACCGCCTGGCGGATGCCCAAGATGCGCTCCATGTCGTACTGAGATGAGGGGAAAACACGAGCTCGAAGCAATGACATGGACAGGGCGTCGGCTGGCTTGTCGAACTTGTCTGGGAATGCATCGCAGACCGCGACGGCCTTGTCAAAGGCTGTCACGCCAAAGACAATGAGCATGTTGGTGACAAGGAAGAAGGTCGCTTCTTCGATTTCGAGGCTGCCGAAAAGCTTTAGTTCAAGCTTTGTGCCACTCTCAATGGCCCAGGTGCCGCGGCCCAAGGCCATCTCATCGACGACCCATAGATAGATGGTGGGCAGTAGGATGGGTAGAGCGGCGCAAGCCAATGGCAGAGCCAAAATGAATTGCGCCGTGATAGTCCAGGTGAGAAGCGCAAAGGAGCACGCCCAAACCAAAATCAGGCCCAGGTAGGTGCCTTCACCCTCCTTGGCGATCAGCCATGCGCCTAAGACGACGCTGCTGAAGAGGGCTAGCTGGCCGAGAGGCTTCGCCGTTTTTATCCATTGCGGGAGCGTGGCGGGGGAGTTCAGGTACTGAGCATGAAGCACAGGCTTGTTGAGGATAATGTAGAGCTGAGCGGTGATGTACGTTTGTATGACGAAGAAGAATAGCTCCTCGATTGGGATGTCATAGAGGGTCGGTCCCAACACTGCGTTTGGGGGATATGTCCAGATGCCGGTTCTGATCAGGTACGAATCCCAGGGAATCGTGGCGGTAAAAGCGATTGTGACGATGAAGAGAGTCCTCACGACATCGAGGCGCGTAAACAGAGGGTATGAGATGAAAGTGAGTAATCCCGCCAAAGGGATGGTGTACTTGACGTGCCTAGCAAGGGATGAGCAAAGTGTTGCTGAAGAAGAGCTCAACGGTGGGATCACTTACACCAGCGCATAGTCGTAACCCATCTTGAGAGGGCTGCAGTTTCTGGAAGCCGTGACAGAATCACGAGAATGAGCAGATTCTCATAGGGTATCGAAAAAATAAGGACACGGGCTCGGCGACGGTGAGGGTTGATAAGAATTGAGGCTTGTCTTGGGGCGGCTCCTGCCAGCGGCGCTCGCCCTGTCTAGAGTCCGTCCGACTCCGAAGCAGGCCAGATTGCAAGCTGTTCCTGCGGCTAGGTTGCACAAAAGAAAAGACGGCACCTTGGGGCGTGTGTGAGAAGCAGGAAAGGTGAGGTGGGATTAGATCGGGCGGGTGTCAGCGCAATTATGACGGAGAGGTTAGCGTCGAGTAAGAAGGTAGGTAAGCGTGGTAGGCAAGTAAGGTGAAGAGAAGGTGAGGTGAGACACCACGTCGGCGTTGCAGCGTTACAACTTGCGCCCTAACCTGCCCTGCTGTTTACTTTATCGCGTCCCTTTTTGTTGTTCTGTTGAAGCCGGACTATTCACCGTTGCTGGCTGGACTTTGTATCCGTAACCCCAAGAGAATAACGGAAGCCGGTCGGCTAGTTCCCGGTGGGAGGAATGATGAATTGTCCCGAGTGGAGTGGGATAGAAATCCGGGTTAGTCGTTGTCTTGCGGGCACGTTGCTCCGGCTGGTGTTTCCAGGCGCTGTTTTCTTGCTCGGGGCTCGGACTTTTCTGAAGTTCAGAGATTCCAGACGAAGGCAATGAAGATGCTAAGGGTGCGGCCGGACTGTGGTGCAAATGTGGTGTAAGATGGACGTGGTGGCGCTTGCGAGGATCCTGTACACAGAGCTTCTTTCCAGATCCGGTAAGACAATGCGCTGAACCAGGTGGGGGAGGAGCTAGGGATGGAGCTTGAATTGGGATGAGATTGTTGAGGATCCAACGTGCAGCTACAACTCCCTTTGGCGTCTTGGTCTTAGTGTAAGCTACACAGTCTGACTCTAACAGTAATTAATTCAGAATGGAAGCTCCAACTTTCAAGGTGGCTGGTCCGGGCCGGCGTGGTTGGTTGGCCGAGTCCGAAGGGAATTTGGAAAGTCTATGACGACCATATGCGCGTCCCAACATGGGATTTTGCATACAACCAGCCCACTTTCAGGTTCTGATCGGACCAGGGGTTAATGGACGGATAGTAAGCGGGCGCGGATCTAGTGGTTTTTTAGCCAGGTGGGAGAGGAGACACTAAATGCTTTCCTGACAATACTGCCTGAGAGATGTATCCGTAGAGAGAGATGCGGCCATGTGTCAAACGTGGTGAGAAGGGGTGAGTAAGACAAGGCGGGATGGATGCTAGGTGCCGTTTTGCCTTTCAGACGAGAACAATTTCACAGAGCCTGTTGGAAGCCGAATTTTGGAACACATTAATTGTTTGGGGGGCCGGACAGATGAATGAGATCCAAGGTGATTCATCACCAACGTCTAATTGATGAAAAATGCCCACTTCGACTTACACACTTCACGGCAAATGGCAAGTTGGAAGACTAAAATGCTACAAATGTCCGAGTCCGCGAGCTTGGCTCTATACTCTGCTCCATCTAAAGCAGTAGCCGATGAAGCGGGATAACAACGATCGCGATCTGCGAATACGATATCAAATGTCTCAACAACCGTTTTGTTTGGTTGTACCTGTAGCTAAAGCACCGTATCAGCCTGTCACCCTGTTTGTGCATGAGCTCTCTCATGCGGCACGCCCCTTGCTTTCGCACGCCTTATGCTACCCCAAGCCAGTGGCAGCTCACCTCAGCAAGGAACACAAAGATTGGGGTGAAGTTTGTGCGCCATCCCGCCCGTCCTGTCTCTTCAACGTTCGTAAGCCAGGAGCTTCCTCCGAAGTCGAGGTGTCATCACTCTCTCAATTCTCAACCCCGAACCGGCCGGTGCGGAGCTCATCCTCGTGCGATTTCATTCCCACCCCCTGCACCTGCCGCTCCGTTGCTTTTGTGGATCCCATGGCATGCGAGGGACAATTGGCAGCCGCCGTCTCTCTTCACATGCTTACTGGAATGGTAGGATAATTAGTCTAGTATGAATGTTAATCAACTTCCCTTGCGTCAATCTTCCATTTGCTGTTCACGCTCTCTCATTGTCTTGTGAGCTGGTGATAATCTCCTGGGGGCACTTGATAATCCCAGCTATACAACCTCACGACAATCTCACAAGCATTACTTATCGCCTTACATCCAGTGCAGCCATCTATCTCATCTCACATATCTAGTAGAGAATTCATCACATAATATAGCAATGCCTCAACTCGGGGAAAAGCCCAAGAAGGCAATCATCGTCGGCGCAGGCGCCGGCGGCGTAGCCCTCGCCGCCCGCCTCGCAAAGGCAGGCTTCTCCGTCACCGTCCTCGAGAAGAACTCCTTCACCGGCGGCCGCTGCTCCCTCATGCACCACGAAGGCCACCGCTTCGACCAAGGTCCGTCCCTCTTCCTCCTCCCCCAGCTTTTCCACGAGACCTTCCGGGACCTGGACACCACCATGGCCGACGCCGGCGTCGACCTGCTGCGCTGCGAGACGAACTACAACATTTGGTTCCACGACGGCGAGCTCTTCAAGCACTCGTCCGACCTCGCCGCCATGAAGACGCAGATCGAGCGCTGGGAGGGCAAAGACGGCTTCGAGCGGTATCTCAAGTGGCTCCGCGAGGCCCACACGCACTACGAGATCTCTGTAAAGGACGTGCTGCACCGGAATTTCGGCAAGTTTCTGGATCTCGCGAGGCCCGGGTTCGTCAGGCACGTCGTGAACCTGCACCCGCTAGAGAGCATCTGGAGCCGCGCGAGCAGGTATTTCTGGACCGAGAGGCTGCGGAGGGTGTTTACCTTCGCCGTCATGTACATGGGCATGTCGCCCTTCGACGCGCCCGCGACGTATTCTCTGCTCCAGTACACCGAGTTCGCCGAGGGCATCTGGTACCCCCGCGGCGGCTTCCACCAGGTCGTGGCGGCGCTGGTGCGCATCGGCGAGCGGCTGGGCGTCGACTACCGCCTCAACACGCCCGTATCCCGCGTCCTGACAGACGGCCAGAAGGCGACGGGCGTGGAGCTCGAGTCCGGCGAGTCCCTTACGGCAGACGTCGTCATCATCAACGCCGACCTCGTCTACGCCTACGGCAACCTCCTCCCCAAGACCCCGACCATCACCGACTACACAAAGTCTCTCCGCAAAAGGGAGGCCAGCTGCAGCTCCATATCATTTTACTGGTGCATGGACCGCAAGATCCCCGAGCTGTCCGTCCACAACATCTTCCTCGCCGAGGAGTACCAGGAGTCCTTTGACGCCATCTTCAAGCGCCACTCCCTCCCCACCCAGCCCAGCTTCTACGTCAACGTGCCTAGCAGGATCGACCCCTCCGCGGCGCCCGAGGGAAAGGACACTGTCATCGTCCTCGTGCCCGTCGGCCACCTCCAGGAGTCAAAGGGCGACGGGCCGGGGCTGACGTCCGACCCGAAGCACTGGGACGACATCGTCGCTCGCGCCCGCGCCGCCGTCGTGGAGATTGTGAGCGCAAGGACGGGCTGCGCGCCCCTGACTGATTCCATTACGCATGAGATTGTCAACACGCCCTTGACGTGGGAAGAGAAGTTCAACCTCGACAAGGGTGCTATCTTGGGTTTGACGCATGGCATCTTTAACGTTCTTGCTTTCCGCCCGCGTACGCGCGCAGAGGGTTTGGAAAACGCATACTTCGTCGGCGCAAGCACTCACCCTGGTACCGGCGTGCCTATCGTCATGGCTGGCGCCAAGATCACGGCTGAGCAGATTCTCGATGATCGGGGATTGGAAGTACCCTGGGCCCGGGGCTTCGACGGTATTTTGAAGCCCCAGAGCCTGTCACCAGGGAACAAGAAGCTGGATAACGTACGGTACGGATTCCACTTCGGATCCGAGGAAGTTGCTGTCTTGTCTGTCGGACTGGTTTTGGCGTTGATTTACTTTATCTTCTGGCCTACCGTACAACCATGGGTTTGCTAAGTTTGTCATATAAGCTATGAAAGGAATAATTTGTACTCGGAAGCAGCTTTTTGGTTAAAATAGACACCTCACTTCATAACTCGATGGTATATTTCTATTCTGGTAGAGCCACGCTCGCTCGAGTAATGCCCCTCAATGACGTTTATTCGCAAGTCCAGTCGCACGGGTGGCACCTCGAAACCATCCAGTTCATGGGAGCCTTGAGATCGTGATCTTTGGCTGGGTTAAATGGTAGGAGACAGCACACTATCGCCCTTAGATAACGAAATCAAAGATGACGAACATGGAGGCTGGTGGTTTCATCTACCTAATTGGCCGAGTGGATAAGAAGGACGCATCGCACGGCTGGCTGAAATGAGAGGCCACTCGATGAACCGCGTTTATAGCCCATCTTGTGTGTGTGTGTGTGTGTGTGTGTGGGCAGCGGGATTCCCGCGGCTGCCAAAGTCCTTGTAAGCCCTTGTTATGAGGCAGCGACGATGCTCAGAAACATTCTTTTTAGTAAGGTAGTACTCGCCTTCCTCTATCACAGCCCGCAAGGTAGTCTTTTCGGAATATGCCCAGGACGATACTCAGAGCTAAGTCGTATTGTCCCCCTGCACACCGGCCCCAATGAGACTTATTTGACTGCCTGAGCTGATATCAAAACTACGTCAGGGCGAGCTCGAACCGAACAGTCGAAGGCACAAGCGAAGGCACAAGCGACGGCAGTCCTTGGCATTCTCCTCGAAAGGTCCCTGTTGTTTTGAGCCTGTTATAGATCTGCCATGCCTTTTAAAGCCACAGGTCGCCCTGGATCCTACTCGTTTCTACTATAGGCTTTGCACTTCCACGCCTGGGCTCCTGGTGCCATCAGGACTGGCGCCAGTGCCAAGGGAATCAGCTTTGAGTTACGACGAACACAATCAATGGAAGAAAGCAGCATTCAAAGACTTGGAAGGGCATCGAAACTCTCTGGGAGTGCCATTATGCAGCAGGAGATCTTCACCAACATCGCTTACGACCCCGAGATGACGGACCGTGGGACGGCGTGAAAATGGATAGAGGAGTGCGCCCGCCCAAGAAGTCACTCAGGTGCCAAGTGGGCTGGCCTAGTAGGCTGGTCCTTCCGTGGCGCCGGAAAGGATTCCTAGATATATGGATGCGTTCTCGCCTTGTTGCAAGATTGGATCTCTCGACAGTCTGTTGGAAGAGAAGGTGATTGCCTCAGCGGCATCATCCATACAAGGTGCCCCTGAGTCCTATACCCCACGATCCTAGAGAAAAAAGCTGGATTATACACAGAAAGGAGAAGCCCAACAATCGACCAGTTGCGCGAGACCACCGTCGGATCAACCAGTCACGTAGCCCTAGCGGTCTTCGTGAATGCCGTACTTGAACAGCTCATGTAGCCGAGGCCACTTGGTGCGTAAGATCGCAGTATCGGGGTAAGTGATAAGTTGTCGCATAGCGACTCATTCTTATAAAAGCAACCAAATGAATTGTTAGAGGTTCAAGAATCCAAATATGCCCAAACATGGTCCACGAGCATGCAAGTGTCAGAGAAACGAAAGACTGATTGATTCTGTCTAGAGGCATGTTCTCGATACCGGCGGTAGCCAAGGCCAGCTCTGACTATTCCATAGCTTGCTTGCCGCTCCGCTCTACACCCTTCGTGGCACTACGCGGCACTTCGGGCAGTATATAAAGGCTCAAATACACAAGGAATACCAAAGTGAGTCTACAACCATCGTCGTATTGGTATGATATCCCGCGATTTCTTTCACGTCAACGTCGGACCCGGGGTCTCATCAACAAGCTGCCACTCTGCCGCGAAGCAACAGGGTGTCCACCTTTATGACTATTACCGTGACCATGTCTAAGGCAGGCTTACTCGGCCCCTTGGATCCTCTCAGTCAGACCGCAGTATGCCTGTCTCATATGCGTTTGAGGTTGTCCCAAAGTCCGTACCCATGCAGGTGGCTGGCGGCGGAACTGCGACCTTGAGTCGACAGCTGCAGGTACATATAGAAAGACTGAGAGGCACCAAGAGGATCTTGCTCATAGCTCTATCCAAACACATCATCCTAGTCCTCTTGTTGTAATGTGAGGTTTCGACTTATGCCGAGATCCCAGAATTACCCACGGCTGGCGGACATACTCTCTCCGATGATAATAACCCGGCTATATTAGCGAGTCTCGATGACTTTCTGGCGTCATCGTCCCTCACGCATTGGGGAAAGGGGATACTTTCTTGCGCCGTCGATCTTTGTGTTGAGGGCCATGGACGTCCCAAGTGACCTAATAAGCAACTCTTCTCAGGCGACAAGGTCTGAAGCTCTGCATTCATACCAAAGCTCACCAGCATTGAACCAATGTCGTGTTCAATGAAAGCCATATCGGGGTCTTCTCGTTCTCCCCCAAGAGTCCAGTAACATGGCGACGAGTATTGGCAAGCATTGGAAACCGGAGCACGCCGAGGCGGCAGTCTATGCTCCGCAGTTGCTGAGCATAAGGGGAGGAGGAGGAATGACATGCATGCCGCAGATGGACGCGTCTGAGGAACTAAATAACACCAATATGCAAGGTGACTGCCCATGTCGACGCGGTGCCATGCAAGGCGAGTTGAATACTTTCACCTCCAGCACCGTCGCATCACCATAGGATCTCAGCGGATCTCCAACACCTCCCTACGTGGTACGGAAACTACACTGTGACTTGATAGATGTTTCATTGATCGTTATGAAAACCAGCCAAATGGCGTTTCCCTCTTCTTGCTACAACGCACAGAAGAGCCTCTCGCGACCCGCAGCATTCAGCCGCACTCTCGCATCTTTGCTCCATGTTTCTCTTCCTCATACGAAAGTTGCTCTCTCTCATCTCTGACCGCCCCTCGCCTGTGCCGCCGCATCGCGATTGATAGCCTCTTCCCCAAGGACCTTACTCGCAGCCATGAACCTATTTTCAAACCTCCGTCAGCAAAACGAAACTCATCGCCTCCAAAAGCACCCAGAACTCAATCCGAGCCACGCGCGATGCCTGTCCTGGCATCATATACGTACGGTAATACTGCGACGGTAAAACAGAAGCAGTGAAACCGGAAAACATATGTGACAAAGGCGGAGGGAAGAGAACAACTCACATGCCGCCATGCCACGCCCCCAAACCCCGCATACTCTCAGCCTGCACGCTCGTCATACGAACCAGGTTCTCCGTATCGGAAAGATTAGCAGACAGCTGCGCCAGCTGCGAATGAAGATGTGTCTGCGATACCGAGTCCAGTCAGCACGAAGAAATTCCATCCCGGAACCAATGCCCTCTCGGCCGAGCATCTCTTCGCCTCTCGCGAGCCCCTCTTCCTCTGCCCTTCGCGCCATCACATCTCACAGAGATAGAAACAAGCCCCATAAGGCAGGAGAACTCACCAGCTGCCGCGTCTTCATCGCGTTGCCGGAGCTGGACGCCATGGACGGCCTCGCCGTCTGACCCATGCTGATATTCCGTGACGCCATCTTTCTTTCGGCTTGTGTTTTGGCTGCTCGTCCTAGAAAACACGGGGTCAGCCAACAGTCCTTGAACTGCCCTCCTCACCAAATCGAGACCTCCGTTCCCGCCCATTCTCATTGCCACGGGAAAAGGTGAAGGGAAAGAACTCAAACTCAAAGTCCGCGATCGACTCTCTCATGCAGACGTCCTCACCACGAGTATCAATTGCAAAATACCACTCACCTCTTGCACCACGCGTCGTCAAATCCGAAACAAACAACCAGCAGAGCCTCAACCCCAACCCAGAAACCCCGTCAGGCAGTTACCTTAACGAATAAGGTAGCCGCCAAGAAAAAAAAACAAAGGAGCGATAGTAGTAATCAACTCCTCTTCAGACGATTTCATGCAACCCCACTGCTTATTTCTCCCTTATGCTCTCTTTCGTCCAAACACTTGTCTTGTCTCGCGGCGGAGAGTTGGCTGTGGTGGTGATGGGTGGCGGGGAAGGATATCTTAACAGACGGCCATTAATTCATGCCTCCTTCATAGTTCAAACATACACACGTCCCAAATGCTTGATTTTGTTTGGGGGGACGGGATGTCGTCGGACGACGGAGGTGGGGTCGGAAAGCAGGACCCTCCAAGTAGGCAGAAAGTAAACAAAAACCCCGACTTCTGATTCGCGGGTCTTTTCGTCATTGAGTTTCTTGCAGGCAGGTGCCAAATGCCAGCTGCCAGATGAGAATATGGTCCGTGCTCCAGCGCGCTGGCTTTTCCCATCACAGCGTCCCCAGCAGCAGCGCGATAAGATAAGGCAGGAGACAGACAATCTTGAATCAACACCCACGAATTGGAGACCTCACGCTCATTGAAGTGCACCTGCAAGGGCAAACACGGGAGGACAAAAAAAAAGTCTCGGGGTGGCTGTTCGCTTCCATGCATCTCTTCGCCAGGGCAGACTTTTTTTTTTTTTTTTTTTTTCCATGTCCCGGATCTTCGGCACGGCACATCCCTCGAGGGGGAGAAAAAACGCCCCCTTTGAGGTGCCCGGGAAAGAACCCCTCCATACCGAACATTCAAGCGTCGCTCCCTCGGTGAGCGGTGAGGGAGGGGGGACCTCCTGCCCGCCGTGGAAACAATCACATCATACCTATTACGAGGTAAAACTACCTGACGTGTATCATATCATACCATCAGATCATGTCGCGTGCAACCCTCCACCACAGAGGCACGCGTCACGTGTCAGCAACGCACTCTTTCTTTCCACGCTCCTTTGGTCTCCTCCTTCCCCCTCGGCTTCGGGGACGCGATGCCAGATGGTGGCTTTCGGCTGGCGCGTTCTGTTCCTACCAGTGCCCCTTCCCGGCCTTCCCCTCAGGTCAGCGACGACGGTCTTAGTTCTGAATCAACCAACATGCCAGCGTCTCATCAGTCGCGCCTGAACCTCAAGCCCGCCACAAGCCTCGGCCGGGGGCGACAGAACTCCTGGACGTAGACCTCCTCAACTTACTGCTTACTGCTTACTGCTTTGCTTACCTTATACTCAACCCACCTCGTCTGAAAATGTTCAAGGGCCAAAGTATAATACACGCACCCCTGGTGGAGAATCTTTCTAGACATCACGTTTGTTTTCACGATGCCAAGTTTCGCACCTGTCTGGCTTCCATTGCGTTCAATTGAACTTCCCTAAAGGGGCTGCCTACTTGCCCGCCCCCTAAACTTTTACATCCATACACACACCTCACCCCTTTCCTCCTCATCCCCATGGGTTGCGCCCGTCATCGCCCTTCTCTCATCATCGGGAAACTAAAAATTATGGAAAGCCAAAATCCCTTATCAAGAGAGGCTTCAGTCTGAGCATGTCCCCCAATCGTTGTTTGCTGCCATGCAATGATATTGCCCATCTTTGTATTGCCGGTTCAAAAACCACCTCCGGATCCTCCCCCTGTCTATGCTCGTTACTTGTAATCCCCTCGACGTACCTAGCCTTGGCTGTGCCTTGGCTGCAAAAAGAAATATTTTTCGTAAAGGACAGACACAAAAGAAAAGGAAATTGCCTGAGAAGGGGCGTTTCGTTTTATACACATCCAACTTCTCGCTTTCGCCCAAGATGACTCGAGGATGGTCAGATCTCACGTCCCATCTTTTTGTCTTTGATCCGGGCCTTGGTGCGAGTTACAAGTCCGAAGCCATCGGGTTGCCGGGACGTCATCTGCTATCCAACCTCCAATGCTGGTCTCCCTTTGGTCAACGAGAACATCGATGTCGTCCACGCCAATGCCTGCTGCTATTACCAGAAGTCGAAGGGAATTGGCCCCCATCGTCACAATGCCGTATGTACTGGACTTGCGTCCGATTGATGAGAAATGAGAAAAGTCGTCGAATTAACTATGTGTTGTGCCGCGAATGAAAGACCGATTCCTGTCTAATCGTTTCGTGTCGTCATCGTGTTGCCGCGCATCGATATGTGAGGAACTCCGGCGGAGTGACCTCTTGAGACCAACGGAATGCGATAGCAAGCCTGGGTCTATGAGTATGTAGAAGGATAGAGACGTAGTCGTCGAGTTCGTTTCGGATCGCAATCGGGCCAAGTAAGCTGATGTCGTTCCATATCGCTGGCCGTGACATCGTCAATGCCGTAGAGCGATCAAAGCAGCCTCGTGAGTGATGTTTACCGGACTCCTATAGCCGGTCTCGGCCCGAGACTGCTTTGGCTGCTGTGGGCTGAAGGCTCGGTGTCATTCTGTGATTCACCACTGCCCGCGCTGGCGCTCGCACTACCAGTCAGACTTCTCATGTTCTTCTGTTTAGGTGGAGGAACAAGACCGCTCACCCCGATATGTTGCTCAACCTGCTGTGGCGCGACTGCGTTACCATGGCCGGGAGGGTATCGGGGCACCGGCTGACGCATACCGTCAGGAGGAGACGGACGACCGTTCATCGGAGGACCGTGATATCCATTGGGCGGCGACGGTCGGCCGCTGCCGCCCCGGATCGACGGACTGTAGGGGTTCCCGGGAGACTGGCTAGCTCGTCGCGGAAAGGCTCCGTTCATGCCCATGGCCATGGGGCCTCCGCCCATTTGCATCTCGTCCAGACGTGAGGCCGTCAGCGAGTTTGCTCTCGAGCCTGCCTGCATCGTACCTCTGTCAACGGCACCGTATCGATTCGATGAGTAGGAAAAGAGGGGGTCGTCTAGGATGTTCTCATTCGCAGCAGGGATACTAGCAATCTGGCTGGAACGATTGCGTCCAAAATTGGGGCGGAATCGGGATGATCTGGCGGGCGGTGCTCCTCCGGCATCGTAAATCTCGTTCTTGTGGTACTGAGCACGGGTGGGCGGTGCTGCGGCTGCCGCCTTCCGGTTCTTCCGTGACGTAACGCTCATCATGTCAAAGTTATCGGGGTCGATCATCGGGGCCGGTGGTCCAGAGTTGGGGTCGAAGTAGTCGTCGTCGTCATCCTCCTCGTCGAAAACCTGAGCGCTGTTGCGCATGGGGTGCGGGCCTCGCCTTGGGGGAGGACCTCTCGATCTCATTCGCATCTCCCTCTCTCTCAGTGCCAGCTCTCTCTGACGCAACTCCATCTCACGCTCGCGAATAGCCAACTCGGAACCCTCAGGGCCATGGCTGTAACCAGGTTCTCCACCTTCCGGAATATCATCATACATCATGAGATGTGAGAACTCCTCCAAATCGTTTCCCTCCATGGACCCGCGTCTCGAAGCAGCCCTAGATCCCGGAGGAGGCGGGCCACGAGGGAAGCCGTTGGGAGGGCCCCCGTTCATGGGGGGCCGACGCATACCGGGCGGTGGTCCTGGGCCCAAATTTGAGGAGTTGCGTGGGCGCGGTCCCCGGTTTGGTGGCATACCATTGCCATTCATCATGGGTCGGGCACCATTTGCTGATGACATCCTCGGGAGAGGTGACTGAGATGTGGGTGAGCCGGGAGGTGCCATTGTTACATCAATAGGCTTTGGCGGTTTCTGGCGGTTGACAATATTAAGGTTATGCAGAATAGCGTAAAGCGACTCGATGCGAGGAACAGGGACGTGAGCCTCTTTGGCCAATTTTATCGGTGAGCCCAGATACGTCTCAACTTCCATCGGTCGCTTTGCGATGTAGTCCTGCCACATGATGCTCTCGGGGTTCGTGGGCTTCGTCATTTCGTCAATGGTCTTTTGTTTGAAGTCGGGAGATAACTTGCAGCCGTGTGCGTCTGCCAAAGCAAGCAGCTCGTCGATTACGCCTGTCACCATATCCTTCACACCAACCTTCTCAAGCAATTGGGCGTGGCTTGCTGTCTCGAAGATGACGCTGGCGGGGTGGAAAGCAATAGGTCTGTCGTCAGGTCAGCAAGGCTACCAAACGGAATCTATTCATATGCAGGCTTACCCAATGACCCGCTCATACTGCTGCTGACGGATGTTCTGGGAAACTTTGCAGTCGACCTGGGCCGTGTTCAACGTCATCGCCAATGCCTCGGCCATATCGCTCTGGATCGCGCCGGGAATGTTATCATTTTTGCAGGAGGGTCCAACCCAGACTTCTGTTGAGCCCTTGTGTTCGAATTCGCTCTGGCCCAGTTGGGAGAGTTCGGCATTGGAAACCAGCGAAAGCACAACGTTGGTGGGGAATCGTTCCTCAATAGCGGCTTCGACACCGAGAGTATGCGTCGTGTTAACGAGAATGCACGTGTGTTGAGGGGTGACGACGGCGTCAATGACGGCGGCGAGGTCGTAAACGTCGGGGAGAGCCTTGATGCAAAGGATCACATAATCAAATGGGCCACCGCCGTGTGCGGCTTCTTCGGGAACGCGTACAACTGCGGGTTTAGACTGTCAGCAATCTTTACATTCCTCTGCCGACCATGGTGCATTGGGAACTTACCGTGTCGCGGCTTAAATCTTTCGTTGCCAAATATGGGAGACCTGCAAATGTTTGATTAGACGCGCGCCCGCAGGTCGCAGGAGAGAATAGGCGACGTACTTGAAGGAAATGCCGTATTGCGCAACGTGATCGAATCC